TGATAAGCTCTCAGAAAAGCAGTCCTCTGTTAGTTGCCAATAAATAATATTCCCAGTGTCGAAGTTTATTCATTACTCCCTTCCCATTATGGCCGTTTAGTCACACGGAAACAATGAGTTATATTCTTTGAATCTTTTATTCTCGCTTGCGCGTTTCTGACTGCCGGAGTGCCTCTTAAATGGAGGAATGCAGGAAACTCCTGCATTCCGTATGGCGCAGGCGGAAAGTCTAATCTGCGATCTGTGTAAATGTCAAGACGGACAGTGAAGCTGTAATCAGCGGGCTGATTGTTGGAATTGGTAGACAAAGCCATAAACAAAGAAGACTTAAGGATTATTAAGTGATCTTTTTGGTTGAAATGGGTGGTTCTTATAGACTAAGGAAAAAATGATTGACTAACTTAAGGGTCTCTCGTAACTTCGGCTGGATTTAGAAGTTTCAATAATTGTACGATTTCGTAACTGTTGTGGAAGCTGACCTCTCCCCGCAAGGGTGCGTTAATTTTCTTGCTAACACCTTCTTTAGTTACTACTTCTGTTGGGGCGTCGACAGGGCAGAAGAAGTTTTCGTTGGTCGATAGGCGAATGTGATCCGAGTAAACGTTCTCATTACTGATTTTGGAGAACAGATCAACGATTACTGGATAGGCAGAAAAGGTACAGGTTGTAATGTCCTTTCAGGCATTCAGTTAGTCTATACTGCGTACCTCTTTTGTCCATAGCAACCACTACCCGCTTCCATCAATAGGATCCCTCCATATCCCTTTTGACCTCTTTGTCTATAAATTTCAACAATCAGGCTGCTGGTTTTGTTTATTTTTAGCAATGAGTGCCTCGCGTATAGAATTTTTAAACGGTGGTTATTGCTTATGATGATAAAACTGATATGTTTCACGATTTGACGCAATGGTGCAATATCAAATATATTTTAAATTTCTTAATGTACCGTGAATAGTGGCATAAATGTTCATTGAAACATTGGGTCAAGTAAGGAGAAAACAGCTTTACTGCTATGTAACATTTTCCATCCCCGTCCCTTTTTTTTTGATCCGGCCATAAACCGGGACGCGACTCATCTTGAGTCCCAGATAATAGCCGGATATTCCAAAGCGCGTTGATTTTATCGAAAAAATCGAACAAGTGAGTGTTTTCAATCTTTTTTAATATTTTATTCGCTTATCGAAACCTGCTTTTATGTGTCGTATCAAAAAATTGACGTTATAACTCGATTAGCAGCCTCAAGAAATGAGGGAATTTATTTTCGAGTCGTCAATTATTCTAACATTTAGAGACTACCTCGAAATCCCGCCATGTTCCCTTACATCAATGACTGCGTGGTTTTTGAATTCATCGTTTACTCTCAGTATAAATTATATGCAACAACAATTGGTCTTCATTATGCAAGTAGGAACTTACTCATTTCTAGCTCATATTAAAAACAACCCATGTGCCATTAGTTTCCCTGTGCAAGTCTGTGTTTTAAGTATTGAGCCAGAAATTATAGCGCCCTACTGTAAAAATTGTAGTCCAGTTGATGTTGAGTTCAACAAGGAGCATTCATTATGAGATTTTTCGCACGAGTCATCAACTTTACAGAAATTTTGAATTTACCAACTAGTTTCATCGTAATTTCTCAATATTACCTCATTTCCATCATTCCCAGCTGCATCAATCATTCTTTCAGAGCTCACAAGAACCACTTGGAAGGAATTTTGCGCCTGCGGGCTGATTGTTGAAATGTATAGACAAAAGGGACATAGGGAGTATGGAGCGATCCTATCGGTTCATTTGGGTGGTTCTTATAGACTAAGGAAGAAAATGATGGACTAACGATCGGGTCCATCGTGGGTTTCCGTTGGTTAGTCGATTACCTACTTCACTGGGGGGGGAAAAAAAACATCGGATCTAGAGTCCAGACTCTTGAAAACATTGACACGAAAAAATACTCTTGATTCAATCGAATTTTTGCTTGAATCAAAACGGAATCCGCTTAAATTAAGAGGCTTGGTTCTTGATTTAAGCTAAAATCCGATTGAATCAAGAGTATTTTTTCTTGTCGATGTTTTCAAGAGTCCGGACTCTAGATCCAATTTTTTTTTTTTTTCTTGTGAGCTCCTCTATCCATTGCAACCACTCGCTTCCATCACTAGAATCTCGACGCATCTTTTTTGTCTTCTTTGTCTATAGCTTTGTCTAAATATTTCAAAGATCACCTCGCTGGAAGGGTGCGGAGAGGCGCGAGGGCCCGGTCGCTTTCCTAGGCCTGCAGGGACGGAATCCCTCCTCGTTTACATTCGCCGGATTCCGGTCGGGAGGCCATAAGTGAAATGATTTACGGGCGACTTGATAAACTCGCGCGGGAGCCCTCTCTCCGAAATAAAAACACCTTTGATGGAAAAATACGACGGCCGCGGCCCGAGGCATTAGGCTTTACACTCGGGTCGTAAAAGTCCCCCGCCCCGGAGATGGGTCAAAATGAAAATTGAACCGCGCTAGGAGCCATCCGCACTCCGCACAACTCTAATTTTCAAAACTGTCGAACTCCTCCCCATAAACGGGCGGTGCTGCCCCCGCGGTTTTTTCGGGTTCCTCTCACCCGACCGCGCCAAATCGAGCGCTGTCAAATCTCTCCTCAAGGAATGGATCCCAATTTGTATGGACCCATACTTTCTGGAGCCCATGCGAAAATCGAGATACGCCCTTGTATTCAGGTCTGCCACATCCCACCTCGGGCCCTAGTTCCAATTTTAAGATCCGGGCCCCATGACTGCCACCAACCTCCCCCCCCCCACCCCCGGTCACCTTACCACCAGAAAAATAATTTTTAATATCTTAAAGTTTAGAGCGCACAGTTGTAAAAATATCATTATCTACTAAAAATCTTTAAAATAGAAGCAAACCTCTATAGCAGTAAAAGGAATTCTACAGTGCCCCAGCGAGTTTTAGAAAATTTATTAACCTTTTATAAAATTTTTCACTTTTCCTTATGAGACAAGGGTTACATGTGAATATGAAAAAGTGTGTCATGGGCGGCACGGGCCTCTCCAAGGCCCGGGCCCCGGTACCATGGACCCAGTATCCCCACCCTTGTGGTGGGCCTGCTTGTATTACACGGAGAAAAAAACCTCGTGCGTGGGACCCGAAGTTTAGGTCATATGGATCTCTGAAGTTTTCAGATTGAGCATCTGATCACTGAAGGTCTAGCTGTCGAGGCTCGGATTACACATCTGAAACTTCAGTTCTTACATCTGAAGTACTTCAGATGTGAGAACCGAAGTTTTTCGGATGTGAGGACCGAAGTTGTTCGGATGTAAAACCGAAGTACTTCAGACGGAAGAACTGAAGTTTCAGGTGTGTAATCCAAACTTCAGCAGCTGGACCTAAAGTGTTCCGATGCTCAATCCGAAAACTTCAGAGGTCCATATGACCTAAACTTCGGGTCCCACGCACGAAGTTTTTTTCTCCGTGTAGACAACGTACGAATTTAAACATTCCGATACTTGTTACTTTACAAGAATTTCATGTAGAACACGATTGTTGCATCGAAGATTACTCCTGACGACGTCGCAAACCAAAGTACGTTTTTTGGTAGTTTCACCGTTGATTTTCAATTCCCTTATCTCATTGACAAGGAGTCGAATACCTGAGGCAGACGCTTCAGATGGAGCATGCTGAGATGAGTGAGCTGAGTCAAACTCCACAGAATCAAATTGATCATCGTCATCAACCAAAGAAATTCTTTCATTTACATTGTTATCTTGATGCCGATCAATCGTGTCATCAAGGAGAACATGAAGACGGTCTAAGAAAGGGAATCATTTGATTATTTGTTGCAGCAAATGAACCACTTTGGCGCCTATTAAGATCTTAATCAATGCCAAACTTCATGCTACTCCATAGGAAATGAGAACTCACTTGTATTCTCCGATAAAGGATTTCTTGTCCTCGAATTTTCATTTCTCTGCTGCGGTATTACATAAGCACGCCACTAAAGAGTTACCCTCCTGGCCTATTGTGAGCGTTTCCATTAGGTTTGGTCGAATATATATATTCGCATTCACCTGGCTATACTCTCCGCTGCGATATCTTATTATTTTCAATTTCTTCCAGCTGCTTTTTGGTGAAGCGCTGGTTTTTTTCAAGTGTCTCAGATGAGGAGAGTTCACTGTGGGCAAAGAAGGCACCAGCTCGAAAGTAAAGCTGCGCTTTACCAAAAAGTAAAAATATGCCTTGCATATGTAAAAAGTATTGGAGAAAAATATGCAGCCATCAAGGAATCATACCCTCAACTTGTTTTTAGTTTTTATTTCCTCTGAAAGCCCGTCCTTCTTTTGGCGACGTTCGAATTTACTCATATTCTCATGTGCTGTTCTTGTCACTTTGTCACGTCAATTTTAGGCACATAATTTTTTTTAAAGTAGCAACAAGCACGAATCTTCTTACTTATCCTCGTTTCTTCAGCTGCAAACTTTATACTTAGTGATGCGACTTTCGCAAGTCTTAAAATTGTGTTTTGATCTCGTTAACTTGAGTCCAACTATCGTCAAAAGTCCTGATTCAGGATGATCAATAAGCAGCATTCCTCTGTGAGTAGCATAACCACAAAAATCGCTAACCCCCTAAGCGTGTTATCGTATTCATATGGTCCTCTATTTATTTTACTTTAATGAGGCCTCATTTGACATACATTTTCGCATGAGAGCTCTGAATTCACGCGAAAAAGTGCCTTGCCTCTCGCCCACTACGGTTGACGTAATCGGACATTAACATGCTTAGCCTAGATATTCGTCTTGGTAACTTACGTCCGCCTAATCGCGAAGCCATCTGGACGGGTGACGCGGGTAACCTAGACGTAAAACTTTCCGGAGTGGGTCATTTGCATTTTTCACAATCGCGCTGAGCGAAAAGCGATGCGTTTTTATCCTTTATTATGTAGAAATTTTTGGAATACATAAGAATACTAGGTAAATCTGGCTAAAATTAACAAAATCAAAAGAATCTTTGAATTTCGGAAAAATTGTATTTGCTCTGATGGGAGTAAACAAACAAACATTAAATAAGTTATGAACTTAAACACCTTGTTATCTGGAAATGTTACTCAGTGGGGAGTTCGCTGAGAAAGTTCCGAAAAAAGTCCCATAAGAAAGTAAAAAAAAAAAAAAAAAATTCCCTAACACGACAGAGCTTCAGCCAAAATCCCAGAGACCTTTAGACATTTTTTTTGTAATGTAAAATTGTTGATGATGTGGACTTATCATAGCATATTTGAGACTTCACATTCTTTCTCTTGGCACGTTCAAGTAACGAATTACAGCAAAAAGATAGTCGTGGGGCTAAAAACGGCCCAAATCCTCCCCTCCTGGAAAAAAACGCATTAGATCTAGTGTCCAGACTTTTAAAAACATCGACAAGAAAAAGTACTCTCGATTCAATCGAGATAAATCAATCAAGAGCCCATAAATCAAGAGCCAAGCCTCTTAATTTAAGCGGATTTCGTTTTGATTCGAGCAAAAATTCGATTGAAACCAGAGTATTTTTTCTTGTCAATGTTTTCAAGAGTCTGGACTCCAAATCCAATGTGTTTTTTTTCCAGTGCTCTTTCATTTCGCATCCGCGTTCATGGCATCATCAGCCACTCCTCCTGGCGGCTCTGTCTTTCTTGGACATGAACCCCTGCTCGATCTCCAGGAGAGTCTTGCCCTGAGTCTCCGGCAGGAGGAAGGCGGAGAAGAGCCCGAAGGCGGCCGACGAGCACAAGAAGAGGAGGATCGTGCCGTGGATCTGGAGGTTGGTGATCATGACGTAGTAGAGCTTGAGGAAGAGGAAGGTGAAGAGGTAGCAGACGGAGTTGCTGAGGCCGCACATGAGGCCGCGGACGCTGAGGGGGTAGAGCTCGAAGATCATGAGCCACGGAAGGGGGTGGACGCCGAGGCTGCAGGCGAAGATGTAGGCGAGGAGGCTGAGCACCGGGACCGGGCCGGAGCCGACGGCCTCGCGGAAGGCGGTCAGCGAGAGGTAGATCACCCCCAGGATCCCGGCCATGGCCAGCCCCGAGAATATGCCCACCGTCCGCCGCTTCAGCCGCTTGATGAAGAGCGACGCCACCGTGCACGATATCAGCCGGGTCAGCGCCAACGCGATCGAAACCTGTGCGGAAGGAAAAAGCGCAGGGATGAGTACGCCGTTGAAAATCAAGGGTCCCGACTAGAGTACCTTTATAGACAGAGTATGGCCATTTCTGTTCCGGTTTTTCATTGGTCGCGAGCGAATAGGCTGACACAATGCTCCTAGGGCCGTAAATAAACAAACAAGATGGCCGTTATCAGCAAGCANCCGGAGCCGACGGCCTCGCGGAAGGCGGTCAGCGAGAGGTAGATCACCCCCAGGATCCCGGCCATGGCCAGCCCCGAGAATATGCCCACCGTCCGCCGCTTGAGCCGCTTGATGAAGAGCGACGCCACCGTGCACGATATCAGCCGGGTCAGCGCCAACGCGATCGAAACCTGTGCGGAAGGAAAAAGCGCAGGGATGAGTACGCTGTTGAAAATCAAGGGTCCCGACCAGAGACAAGAGGCCCTCCACTAGTATCTTGGCCAGGGTGGAAGCTTTTACTTTCGGGACTTCAGCATTCTACTGTTGCCTTACCTACATGGTTGATGTTTAACAACGTGTTGGCAGTTTTGTTTTGAAAACAAGCCGAAAATGGCCAAAGTTTAGGAAACTTGTTTGGCTCATGACGTCATCCGAAACTCATCATCGACCATGTAGGTAAGTCAACAACCGAAAATAGGGTGATGACTGTTGCTCGCTAATAATTGTCCGTAAGGAATTGTTGAAACCCCGAAAGTAAAAGCTTCCACCTGTCACTAGGAGGCCAGTGGAGGGTCTCTTGTCTCCGGTCCCGACTAGAGTACCTGTATAGCGAGAGTATCGACAGATGTGAAACTCCGAAAATCCATCAGGCCTTCACCGATGCTTCTGCGATTAAAGTTAGGGCCCAGAAATGCAGCCAACCTATGAATTTCAATTATCCAGAACGATTCACTAATACTATTGTTACGAACCGTCGTTTGTTAAGCACGTGTTTGACTCAGTTTTTGCATAAATTCACTCAATTTTGCAGAAGAACGCTCATTTCTGTACATTCTTGGCCATCTTGGTTAGAATTGGAATCTGCAGACTGGCAGTGAAATTTTGTGCGTTGGAAGTTGGTTAGAAGGGTGGCTGCACTTTTGGGCCCTAAGCCCTCCATGAAGCGATCTGTCCGTACTCTCGTTATACAGGTACTCTAGTCCCGACGGTCTGGAAAACCGGGAAAGTCAGGGAATTCGTACGGGAACAGTCAGGAAGAACATGCGACGACTGGGAAAAGTTGGGGAAAACGTGGAAACAGTCGGGGAATTTCTGACGCATCTGCTAATCACTGAAACATGAAGCGTCTAGCTGCAAAAGAGGCAATCTCCATTGCCCTGTCTAATAATTGTGTGATCATTATAATCTGGAAAGTGAAAGAACGGGAAAACCTACATTATTATGTTTACTTGTGAATTTTCTATTATTATGCGAGAAAATTTGGAACCTTTTAAGAACAGCTGGACGTTTTGATTGTTTCTCACAGAAAATTAATATGATTGCACAACTTTTAGATAGGGCAATGGAGATTGTCGGGTTTGGAAGTAGAGGCCTCACAATATCCTCTATCCTCCAACTGTAAACCCTGTCTGGTCATTTTTAAGGCTTGTATTTTTCTAACTAGCAACTGAATGCTTTATTCCATAATTTAATCTTTCAAGGAAAGTGTATCCGAGGTTTAGCGAAAGTCAGGGAAAGTCGATCAGGGAGGGGGGGAATGGAAATTTTGCTCTAAGTTTTGGGAAATTCTGGCTTTTCTTGATCACGCATCAAGACGCTAAAGATCACCGGTTTTAGGACTTAATCCCGTCTCGAGAAGAAAACCGACTCGATTAACAAAGCCAACCGATATCACAACGATTTTTCCCCTAAGTCTTTTCTCAATCAGCGTTGTCCGTCGGAAACAGTATTACACTAATCAGCTTCCTGAATAGAGAACAACCTACCTTGGGGTGGTTAATATAAATTTTACGCAATGGATTTTTCTCCAAGCTCTAATGCGTTAAATTTCTTCGTGTCCCGTGGAAAAAGATGACGTTTAGTTTCGTATCTCGATACGAAAGTTTTCATCTGATAAATCTACCCCGTGAACTTGCGTTTGTCTCAACTTCAGTTCTGAACGTTTGTGGCGGAACGTCCCTACAACCTCAATATTTGCTGTTTTATCGGCAACTTTTTTCTAAATACATTTCTGAACATTAACTTCCGTTCATTTCAGTTACCTTTTGCGGGTCCATGGTCGTTTTGAATTCCCGGAGGAAGTCGACGGAGTAGTAGAGGAGGATGTAGAACCCGGTGCCATTTTGCATGAAAGCGAGACAGGACAGAACAAGAAACGGCTTAAATACGGTCGGCTTGGTCAGTTGACTTAGGGCCAGCGCTCTTTTCTTCTGGTGGTTGCAAGAAGCTTCTAGTAGCTTCAGTTCCACCTGTAAACGATTAAAACAAGAGCTAATGAGAACATTACTGTATTATTTTACGCTATCAATTCAATACCTGCTTGAAGCGTTGTTGTGTGGTGAGTCGGGCACTGAATGATCCACACCTCGCCAAGCCGTGGGTCGCTTCAAGTACGGTTTTTTTACGTTACATATTTTTAACATTTTGTCACCCAATTTACCTTATTCACCGTACCGAAGAATGCTCTAAACCTGCCTTCAAACCTGATTTTGAATATTTTACGCATACGCGATTTCTCAGTGTTGAAATTTCAGAATGCAAGGACGTATTGTATGCACAGATAATAGGAACTGTTTCTGGCCACTTGATTCCTGATTTTATATAATTCCGAGAGAATTTAGTATCTGCAGCACTATTTGCTTGACAGTAGTTACTGATTACGCAACTGGTTATTGATATAAGATGCATGATTAACACTGACGAAAATGAAGCGCTGGTTACTAGATTCTTGGGAATCATATTTAATCAAGAAACTAGCAACCTATTTTACTTTTTCTTCCATCGAACGAGTTACAATAAGACTCCTTCCCTCAGCAAAAGGTCTGGGACCTTTCTCTTTTTCTCTCATTGTCAGCCAAAAGACTTTGCAAAGTGCTTGGTATTTATTATTTTTTTAATTTTTTTTTAAAATCCTTTTTCTTTTTTCTTTTGTGAATAATTTGGATAACGTTTGTTAAAAAGAACATAAGTATTTTGATACACATGGAGAAAAACACTTAAAAACGTGGCCCTGGAAACTGGTACTGACTGGAGTCAGTTAGATTTATTAGAGCTCAACATTTTGATTGTAATTAAACATTTTTGAACTTTATGGCCTTGGTTTCTCCGCGAAATAGCTTGTACCGAGCGCTATTTACCACTTTGTTCTATTGACACATGAATGAAATAATTTGTATTGATACGAGGAGGAAATCATATTAGGCATTCTCTTGATAAGCTCAATAAGATCCTATACATACGTATGATGGATATCGTTCTTCAGTGGGAATTTTTGTGACTGTTTACCTCTGGCATCGGTTTTGGCGTGATTGCCAGTGGAACTTGTGTTCAGAGCGTGGCGAAAGGCCATTAAGCTGACATCTAAGGGGGCACATACAAATTTTAGACAAACAATTTTAAGACAATGCCATTAATGTTTAATTTATATTCTGTATTAAAGGAGCGCCAGGAGCGGCTTGACACACCACCCTTCTTTCTATGCCTTTTCATAGGGACCTGCTTCATACAACTTAACAACCGATTCTTCTTTGAGTTATAGTCTTTGAGACCGTGGTATTCAACAAAAGTTATTTTCCTATCTTTTTTAAGAATGCTTTTACAATTTTTATAACAGGAAGTATTATCACAGCACGGATTTGGCTTCATTCATTTATTGGACCCTGCATCTGCGGCCATTTTTTTCATTTGTCTTTTATTTACAATCAAAACAAGATGCAATTATCCAAGTACAAACAATTCAGAGTAAGGGTGAATCACAGTAACAGGTCGAGTGTCCTCTGAGGACCAATCAATGTTATATTTATTATTCAACAATCTGTAAAGTTTATGTAAAACATGGCTATTAAATCCTGCGTCGTAAATCAGGCTAGCTACTCTCACGATGCTCGCAGCAGGCGTAAGAACAGAAGTTTCGCTGTAAAGCGCTAAACTCATACAAGTGAACTCGGGTCTGGTAACTTTCGACCCATAGAAATGGTGTCCTAGGAATAGGATCTCTAAATAATTCTTAGTTATTATAGATTTCTCGATGTTCACGATCATTCCAAAAGGCGCAAAGAATTCGGCGATGGCTTGAACCCTTATCACAATTTCTTTTAATATGAAAAGAGAATCATCTCCTAAAACTTTAACGGCCGCATTGGGCTGACCTATAGAATCTAAAAACATGTAAATTAACAATAGATTACATATACTACCAACTATCTGCGTGAAGTACGAACCGGATGGCAATCCAGCAAGAATTTCAAATAACTGGCCATCTGGCATAATCAGTATCGTATGCTTAAACAAGTACTCGCATAACTCATAATTGAGTGCGTCTTGTGCCGTTTGGGGTGGGCACATTTCTCGCATGATCAACCATGCGCTATGGATTATGGCTCTACATAACGTGGAATCAAACTTTGAAAAGTCAATACAATACGCTGTCTCTCCGGATTCTAGCATGCGGATCAGGTCATAAGGTAAATCCTTATGAAGGTCCTTCCCAACATAGATCGGGATTCGTGTATCAATAACTGTTCAATTATGGGTTGCGCAATGCATCCTTCTAATAATACGTGATGAATATTTTTATTAATTTTCTTAATTTAGGAGAGTCAATTTGAACAGAATTTTGGGACGATTAAGGAGGAACTATGTGTCCTACTTTTGATGATACCTGGGGGGAGTATGTTGAAACATGTGCTATGCTAAATGGTCTCCGTGGCGACCACTTTTTCTCTTCATCTTAACCTAAGATATATGAAAATGGAGGTCCTGCTTGGATGATTCTTCCAGTCATAATTTATCCTTAAAAAGGTATTATTAATTAAAATGTGTTGATTTATCTATAATATTGTTGACCTTTTTTCTGAGCTCAACAGTGACTATTTTTTAGGAACCATCAATTTTCTTTCAATGAAAGTTTCGATAATTTCCAATATTACCTCAATATTGCAGTGCTGGCCTTTGAGCCATTTGAGGCTTTCAATTGTCTCCTGGCGACGCTGGTGTTGGAAGAGCCAGGCGGGGGACTCCGGGATGCTGCAGGCGTAGACGAGGGCCAGGAGGGAGAGGCTGGCCGTGATGAGGGAGGCCCTGTCCCACGGCATGGAGCCGCCTACCGAGTAGACGTAGGTGAGGCCCAGAGACGCCGAGATGGTCGCCGAAGAGAGCAGCAGGCTCCGGTGCTTCGGGGTCGAGATCTCCGAGATGTACACCAGTGACGGGAACCCAAAACCTGCCATGGCATATCGGCCCATTATCTTTATCTATGTCGCAGGCTAAAGGTCAAATCCGGCATTTAGGCAAATGCCTAGGCAAATGGTCAAGTTTAATCGAAAACGTAGATTGGCTATTTGCCTAGGCATTTGACTAAATGACGAGGCAATTACATAAAAGCCTAGGCATTTGCGTAAATGCCGAGGGCACGTTAGGCAAAAAGGCAAATGATGTTCCTTTTCAGGCAAATAGTCAAAATCTGAGAAAAAGTCAATTTGCAATAATCCAATAAACCACGGCCAAAGAAAAAAAGAAAAAAAAAGAAAGTCTGTACCTTAAAAAGAATGAGGCAGTAGCGTTACTTGTTCGAGCACGCGATGGGTTGGTGGCACTTGCTGGAACATTTTCTCTGATTTTTGAAGCAAGAACATCGTTTGGTCGCACATTGATTTTTACTGGCTTGGCAATTACACTTGACAAAGCCTTGCCCTTCAAATAATGAAACGCCAGAAACTGCTTCGCGGACCGACACTAGCTTATCCCTCGAAACCTGAGATATTTCAAATTTTATTGCCTCTACTTGTTTTAATTCTTCCCGCGAACACCAATTTTTGATGACACCCGCGGGTGTTCCAATTTGGTAAACATTATTGCGGACGTCAAGAACAATTCCTTCGATGTTTTTTGGGTCCAACGGACCACAATCAAATTTTGAAATGTTCAAAATAAATGTATCTTCCACTTTTAAAGGTGTGAATAATTTCGAACTTCTTTCTGTCATTTTTTGAGCTGCAACTTTTTGTCGTAGATGGGCTTCCGCTCTTGTTGTGCGTATTTCTGCCTCGCCATGACAATACTTACAAACAAATGGTTGATCGCCGTCTTCATTACCACACTCTTGATGACATGAATTATCGCAAGAGCTGCAGTTTACTATTTGCCTAAGCAGCCTTCGGCATTTGGTCAAATCTTCAGGCATCTGAGCAAACGCCTAGGCATTTGCGCAAATGCCTAGGCAATCGACGAATTTCAATGATTTTCACCATTTCTTTTCTATTTGCCTAAATGCCGGATTTGACCTTTAGCCTGCGACATCTATATTCTGCCGCTCTAACGAAGAACACCGTATGAATATCGCAGGCAAATAGCGAAATCAGGCATTCTGTCAAATACCTAGGCAGATAGCTAAATTTTGATTGTTTACAAAATTTTGTGGATTTATATGGCGGAGAGCCTCATGAGTTTTCAATATTTGTGGAAAAATATCTCATCAAACCTACAAACTCTTTTTGTCTCTTCCTCTTCAATTGCTTCTCATATTTTTAAATGTTGAAATTCTAAAAATGCTGTATTCTCTGGCATGCTGAAAATTTTAAGATAAGTGTCTACTCAGGAGCTAAAAATCGATTAAAATACTGTTTTGTGACGCAAATTTTTACTGAGAATTTTTTCTTGCGGGCTCAATTAGTTATTTTGTCTAAAATTTGGAGAAGAATCAGAATTTCAATCTTACACGGAGAAAAAAACCTCTTGCGTGAGACCCGAAGTTTAGGTAATATGGATCTCTGAAGTTTTCGGATTATGACGAAAGTCCGGTTTCTTTTGGGACAGCCCTCGTATACGTATGGTAATGGTCTACGTTGAACGCGACATCTCACCTTATGTATACAGCAGGTATGCCCAGGGAATCTGAGGTGTTATATTGTGATCAGAAATATGTTTATTACCTATAGCATTTCAGCTTGTATTTTCCATCTTCAGAGCTCGCATATGATCATAAAACATTCAAACAAAATACTATGACAAATTATAATGCCATTTCTTATGTGAATCAGCGCTATGAAAAAGAAAACGTTGTATTTCATTACCTGCGGCGGTTCCAAGGAGGAATCTTCCGATGAGTATTTCAGTCAGATTTGAAGAATATCCTAACAACGCATGACCAACTGCCGAGAGAAAAAGAAACACCAAAATTATCCTTTTCCGACCGAGCTTGTCAGTCAGAGGACCGCAGAGAATCGATGACATCGGAGTGCCGATAACGCCCATGCTAGCTGCCGTAAAAAAACGAAAACTCGAATTAGTGTCACTGCAATAAATTTACTTTTCTACACTTCGACGGAAAAAGTGTCGTAGGTTTAGGTTAGGTCGGCATTGTTTCTCCTTCACCCTTACTTGCATTTGATCCTTCTCTCGAATCTTACCCTGTCATGGTGTAAGTCGGTTTTCTTTTTTCTCTATATCAACGTTATAATAGACATGCGTTACCATATTTTGCTTTCTTGCCTAAAAACCTGTGCTGCACGAATCAAAATTCAAAATTCCCTCCCTCGTAACATCCATCCTTTAAACTCTGATGTTCCAGTAGGAGTCACCGAAATTTTAAAACTCTTCAAGCAATTAAATTTAAACATTTAAGGTTTCCTGGTCCCCGACGTAAATAGCCTAGTTGCCGATTTTCGTAAATTAAGTAACTAACTAACTAATTTCTACTGCCTCTATTGGCTGTTAAATAATCAGCTGTTCGAATAATGCGAATGCATTATTCTGTACTTGATATTCCGATTGAAATATAAGCGTTACTTCCGAAATGCAGGAAGGTTCTTGTTCTGTTTAAAATAGTTTTTTTTATTAGACTTAATTGTAAAGCAAAAAATCGGAAGAAATTGAAATGAAAGCGAATTTTAGAAATCAACACAACTTGACGTAGAGACATGATTGAGGCTAAAAAATACAACGGTTTTTGATACATCGGAAAATCAACCAAAAATCGAAGACTGGGCGAAACGCTCAAGGTCGCAGAGGCATAGGGAATCACATAGCAATAGCAACGGAACGATTGTAAAGACAGGGGAACTCCGTTCCCATGCCAATATTGTAATACTTATTACTTGCCGGCTCGCGATATTTTTGTCTCGGCGTGTTTCGGCAGTTTGACCATCATCAGAATTTGAGTCGCGTATCAAATCCTGACGATGGACGGACAGCGGAAACGCTTCGAGACAAAAATATCGGAAGCAGGTGATTAATTATCAATAAATATTATAGTTATTGGCAGTATATTCTAATTGCTTAATGTACCTGTTCATTTTTATACGTTTTTTAGGTGCAAGGTAAATGCCAATGTGAACTGAAGCCAATTTTTCCTCGTGATTATTTTTTCCGTACATGAAATGCACGAAATGCGTATTGCGAAAAATGTCTATGAAATTTAATAGTTTGTCTTGCCCTAATTTTAACCCTGATCAGTGGTTCATACTAAATGTTAGGTAATGCGTGCAAAGATAAATGTTTTTTTCCAAACTGCCTTCACCGAATATTTACTAAGATTGCGACGCTGATACGATAGCGCAACTCTCGCACTTCAAGTGGATGCAACTTATTAAATGAAATCTGAAGGATAGTTTTTCTCGCTTAGTTATTATTTTTGGTGTAAAAACTGTCTAGACCATCGCGTGTTTCCATTTGTTGAACCACTTTCTACCACTAGTTGAAGAGGTTCCACAATCTTAGTAGCGTTGCAATTATTGTAGTCAAATGTCACATACTACTATTTAGTCAATTGTTTTCCCTCCTTGAATATACAATACACTAAATAGAAAACGTGCAATTTTGTAATTCGGGAGACATGTATTTGCGGCGTCTTCGGTATCTTGTGGATGCGTTCACAACGACGGAAACGATGATCAGACAAACTCTTCTTTGTAGTTTGACAACGAAATGCGCGGCTCATCTCAAGAAACGCCTTCATTCAAGCGAGTATACCAAACCACGACGATGGCGTTGATTAAGTCGTATCTTGAAGGAGCGAAGCAACGCTGAAAGTCCAGGAGGTATCAGAGATCATCAAATACTTAAATCGTAAGCAGGAATAGCCACGTAGTATTTTCAGAGTTTTTAACCGATGGATTTATGTATTTTTTTTCTCAAAATTTAAGGAACTACAAAAGGAACTCGGTTGGAACAGAGAGACAAACTGAGGAAACCGTATACTTTCGCAGGGAGGCATTTGGGTAGACTAAAGGAAAAAAAAGCTAAGCATTTTTGCGAGCTTCACGAAAAATTGCAATATTCCTCCATTACCCGAAGGTCTATGAACCAGAAAGCATCGCCGCAGTTGATGCTTTGGACCTCTTCTTCGTTCTGGAGACTTTCGTGGACACTTGTATGAAGGCATTCATCGGAGTTTTTAGGGGAATATCGCGATCCGAAAAACGAATAAGAACCACGATAACAATGATTCACAGCATATAGATTTTCTTTATTTAAGTAACTTTAAAAGCGAATCGTTTAAAAGCCTAAGAAGAACCGCTTTTTCAAAAAACTCTGCCTAATCGCGATCCTCGCGAGAAACTGCATAATCCTTATGTTTTCGAAGTTTAAAGAACACAGTTACTACTCCTAACCGTGTGGAGATATAAGTAATCATGCCGTTAATATATATTGTATCTCACCTACAAAATAAGTCAAGATGAATATTTAATACATAACTTACTTGAGTTTATTTGATACATAAAATGTGAGCAGTTCTCAAGATCATCATCAGTCGGCAGCGAACTAAAGTGGTTTTCTATCTTCTCTCGAGTTCGTTGCCTACTGGTGATCGAGCTCTAAGCTCCGAAACGCGTCTCCATTCATCAAATTTTACTGCAAGTGAGTAACAAAATTTTATAAAACTATCGATCATAATTGTTTTGTAGCGATTCCCGCACCACTTCCCTCTCTCCCTCACGAAGTTTCCACAAGATCATAGTACATGATGATGTTACAAACCTATCCACGTTGCCTGTTCGTCTGTGATCCTGATGGAGCTGCCCTCCGCTTTCAACTGTGGAAGCATAGTCGACGACTGGCCAAGCATGGCGCCCAAAAAAAATTGACAAGCCGTCGATGCAAGGGTAGCCAAGACCTAAAGGGGGAAAAAAACGACACGTAAATACTGACGCTTAACGAAGCACAGAAAATAGCCCCAGGTGAAATGCTCTGAACGGATGTTTGTGCATGTTGTGCACTGGAAAAAGACCACATTGTATCTAGAGTCCAGACTCTTAAAAACACCGACAAGAAAAAATACTCTTGATTCAGTCGGATTTTTGCTTAAATCAAGAACCAAGCCTTTTAATTTGAGCGGATTTCCTTTTGATTTAAGCTTAAATCTAGAAATCTTGCTTAAATCTTGATTTAAGCTTGAATCAAGAGTATTTTTTCTTGTCAGTGTTTTCAAGAGTCTGGACTCTAGATCCAATGTGGTTTTTTTTTCCAGTGTGCACATTTAACTCCACCTAGATGTTACCGTAAATGCTTTACATCTACCGAGAAACCATTTGTTCTATTCACCCGCAGCAAGTTTGTTTGTGGTTTTGGACGCATAACTTAGCATTACCGTTGTTATGCTTGATTCACACTCCAGTTGAAAAAAATAAAATTCTCTCCTTAATTCATTTATACTGAAATGTGCTATCAGGCCCTCATAACCAGTATTACTGTTTTCAATAATGCAATGATAGCTCGCCAGCTTGACGTTTCCCTCAAGCATATACCAAAAACAATTATCTGGGAATCTCGTATCACTCAGGTGACTGATAAATCTTCGTCAACAACAAATTCTCTCCAGGATGTACTGGAAAAAAAAAACACATTTGATCTTGAGTCCAGATTCTTGCAAACATTGACAAGAAAAAATACTCTTGATTCAATCGGAATTTTGCTTGAATCAAAACGAAATCCGCTTAAATGAAGAGGCTTGGTTCTTGATTTAAGCTAGATTCTGATTGAATCAAGAGTACTTTTTCTTGTCGATATCTTGAAGAGTCTGGACTCAAGATCCAATGTGTTTTTTTCCAGTGTGAGCATTCCAATAAAAAAAACTACGAGATTATATTTCATATATTTCATATAGACTAAACCATGGATACTCACCGGTTTGAAAATACTAGCCGGTGGGCGGTCAATATCGTCAGTGTTCGTGCTCGTGTTATTAGTTGTTTCATCGCTCCATTCAGTTTGCATGAGTTGCACATTTTCACACGAAATGAAGAATTGGTTGGGCGAAGGCACCGGTGGCTTTCTAGGCGTCATCGCACTTTCCCTGGTGCCAATCGGCCCTGAAGAACTAGACTACAATATTACGAGGTCCACAATCTTACTGATGTAACCAACGTGATTATGGTTACTACGAATAAACTGTTGTAAAATTAATGCATGTGAGGTTAGCTTTTAGAATGTATGATCATCAGCATACGTTATTTTGACGGTAAATTGTTTTTATTCTTTGATACTGGCTTTCCTTCAAAACCTAAAGCTTTGAATCCAACATGAGAATTAATTACGATCGCTCCTTAAATGTTTTCGAATTATATTGGGTGAAAAAAAAGATTCCTTTGTCGCACATCAGGGCCTTTTGAAAGTAGTGAAAAATAAATTTATTTCAGATCAATCTGGAGAACCGAACAAGCCTCATGACATTAATAAAAATGTAAACAAGGGAAGATGATAATTTTTTACTTCTTCTACAATCTGTCCCGTTATGTGCATTCATTCATTTTCGAAGGGCCACTGATTTTTCTTGTTACGGCCGGATATTATATCGACGAAATGTGTTCGATGATGCTCTGATTTTACTTTTTCAGCCCAACGTGTTGAACGAGACTAGCTCTAACGCGATTTCAGTATGCGAGATGCTTGCACAAATCAGCACCAAGTTTGGTAACAGAGGAAAGTCTCGCAGACTTCCGGATATTCTTCCACCACAATTAAGCCCGGTTTGCCCCTGTCAGTCTTCTAATTTCAAGATGTTCCACAATCATTAAACTTTATTTTAAGGCCTCCCGGTGAACAACCTTTAGATATCCGCACCCATCTCGATGAAGATTCAACTTAATGCGCACTACTACTGAATTCATTTAAGAAGTGAATCTTAAACTTCATCATAACTTAGCCCCACAATGTTTTTGACAAAAAATTAAGTTAGGTAGCACTGACTGGACCATAACCTCCACGGATCGAAATTTCAGTGTTTCGAGTTACTTTCCCATGCTCCGCCGACCGAGAGCCACTTGATAGACTGATTCGCATATCTTACTGCTCCCAATCAGTTTGATGCAGTTTTGAGCACGCGTGAACTAAAACTGCATATTTGCGCAAGTCGATGTGCGCTTTTTCCAACAACAGCGAAGCGGGAGGCGTTCTGGCCGCAGTCTCTCATCTAGCGGCATCCCGACGAATGAAGGTTTTTTCTCATCTAAAGATGAGCGCAAGTATCTCAGGGACCCCCTGGCGCTTATGCTGTTATCGAGAAAGGTCATCCAATTGGCTTGACAAGTTCGCAGTTTTAATTGTTATGAATCGACCAGCGCGCGTCCCTAATTAATTGCGAATCCGAAGATCGCTGTTGCCCATCTTCGTCATTATTATGTCGGAACCGACCGGTTAGCATTAAAAAGCATGGTCCATTTACAAAGCGATCTTTTTTTTTAAAACAAAAAAAAGGAAGAAAAAGAAATTGCCCGCAAAATAAAAAATTGCGATGATTTGCTCAACGTTTTTTTTTTTACCAATCTCTGTGTAGATTGAGCACTTCTACTGAATGATATCCCACTCTGCCGATTCTCGCACGGAAATTTGCATTGCTACCCAAGATCTTATGTCTGTACGATCGGCTATTGATGGCTGATACGACTCCAGAGCTCCAAGGTTGTGAGTGAAGAAATAGGTTAAGTTGAAGGATTCATTCGTCTTCCTGCCTCTCGAAGAGGAAACAGTTGACGCGTTAATTTTCACGCATATCTGTCATCAAATTAATTTAATTTTCATTTTTTCCAGCTTACTGATGTGGTCTATTATTTAATGGTCATTTTGCTGTATGAGGACTTAACTTGTGACGATTCATTTAGTATTTAGTAGTTGACGTATTTTATTTCCCCTAATGCTTAATAATCCACTGAGGCCTAGACTAGTTTGTTGCGCGCTCTTTCTAGTCCGCTGTCGTTCAAATGAACAAAATCCGTTCTGCCTTCGAAGTATATAGTTTCCAGAAGTTCCATTAAAGGATTGTCATGCAATCTATGAATGGCATAAATATGTATTTGGAACCTTAACACTAATCTTATTCTTCCTGCAGGGATACTGTGAGAAAATAGTTTCGTTCGCATTAATAATCGAACCTACTTCAGCTCTTTCTTCCTTCTACAAGTGGAATGAGGGGGGAGGGGGCGTCCCCACAAATACAAAATTAAACTAAATGTTAAGTTTCTAGATTCTGCTCCTTGATGTTAACTTTCACAAACGGTGAAAGAGATGCTCTCGCCTCGGGGGTGTCGAAGTCGCTATAGTTACTTCAAACAGCAGGGCAGCTACTGAATAAGATATGATTGATGCTCCGCGGCAATATGTACAATAACAAAACAAATTAAAAAGCTGGTAACAAGGCTAATTTTTACGAATAAAACGAAAGCGTTTTGACTGCGAGAACTCAGCCTTCCTCAGTTGGATAAATTAGTAAAAAGGAAAATGGTGCAAATCTAAATAGTAACTGGCTGTACCTTTCAAAGCGAGAATGTTAGTTATGTAAGCTACTATATACCAGTACTGTACTATTTTATCCAATTGAGGAAAACTGAGTTTCCAGCCGAAACGTTTCAGTTTTATTTGTGAAAATTAGCCTTGTTACCCGCTTTTTAAGTTGTTTTATTATTCTACTGAATAAGGTTTCAGTATATCCCACTGAGGTGAAGAATGAAGTATGTCGTCTACCCTGCAAAATTTTTAGGGTGGAAGATGCTGAATAATGTAGATAAAATTTACAATGTGACTTAAGTAATGACAAACAATTCGTAGAAAGGATGATTAATGGTAACAGGTTTAGGCAGAGCGCTGTGAGAGAGACTCTCGTGTATGTATGTATGTTTAGAAGATTCTAAATCCCAGTTAATAGGATATGTGTTTAACATATATTTGTACAAATTTTGAAGGCCAAAAGAGTTAAAGCCGCAACCGTAGATATGACTGGCAATCCGGACCATCGAGTAAGCTGGTGCTGGAATTGGGTTCTCGCTGTGTAAGGCAAGTGTTAGGCGGATGAATTCCTCTCTGGTAACAAAGTAGATGTCAGTGAAGATCTTAGTGATCAAAGATTTGTCCACGTTCACTACCATTCCAAATAAGCCAAGGAAATCTGCAATCTCAGACATTTCAATTAATCTGTAGAAAAGAACAAAAATCGAGTCGTCTCCAAGAACACGAACGCTTGCATTTCGATAGCCGATCGAATCTTGGAAGGAGTAAATTAGAAGTAGGTTACAAACGCTTCTTATGAGGCTCGTAAAATACGAACCAGGTGGTAGGCCAGNAAACCCGTACCAAAGAACATTGATGGGGCTTTGGACGGGATGGCCAGTACGGTAACCTCTTCCGATGAAAAGATTATTAGAGTTGATAAAAAACATCAGATTGTCGCCGTAACATGTAAAGAAAACCTGCAATTTTTGGTCGACTTCGATGATGTTATTTTGGGAGACGGAACATTCATATAAATATGCTATAAATATGGTATAAATATGCTCCGTATAATGCAGCGTTGCCACATAGTGCAGTGTGCGCAAACGTTATCGGTAAAACTGTGCGCAAATGAAAATTCGGAATTTTGTGCGCAAACGTTATCGGTACGAAAAGTGTGCGCAAACGTCGTGCACCGTTTCAACAATTTAATTAAATCATAGGGGAGATCTTTGTGTAGATCACGCCCCATGTAGATTGGTGTATCTCTCTCTCTAATAAGTCGAAGAGAATCGGCTGGGCGATAGTTCCTTCAAGAAGTATGTGGTGAAAGGGTCTTCCCCAGATGTGCCGCACTTTGGGATTAGCTCGCAAAGTTAGCTGGCGTTGGGCGAAAGCCTTACCTGGCACAGGTCTATAGTTGTCTCTCCACTTCTCAAAGTCGTATAGCGTTCTTGAGACATTAGATCGGCCCTTGAGATAATTATCTCTCTTGTGGCCAACGTATAACCATACCCAGCTGAAGTGTTTGGTTGCCAAATCACTTTATGTAGACAATTTGTTGGTATTCGTTTGACTTGTCATATAACAACTCACTATAGCTACATCAATTGTAAACAGCCACCATACAGCATTGAGAGCGAACGAGTTTACTTAAATTGGGGTAATGTTGTTCGTTCTGCTCCCCAAAAGTGTCTCTGAGAGATACTATTGTACTTCTAGAATGGCGGCGGCTGCAGCATCAGCTAGAGGCTGAGAGGTATTTTTACTTTTTTCTCGAAAGTGCGTCCAGTATGCTGCTAGTTTCTTCTTCTTTTTTTCGGCCGGCTGTTACTCAGACGAACCACCTGTACAAAAATAACAAAGATAGGTAATTAGATGACAAAACTAATTGTTAGTCATTGTAGAAACTACTTTCTTGGCAACCAGTAGACGAGTCTTTCAAGAGATTCAATCAATATTAGACATATATTAGAGACCAACGAAAAAAAAAGTGTTTGCCTCAAAAAACTACATCATGTTGTGAGGAGTGAAAAAAAAGTCATTCAGTTGATATCCTAATACCGACTAACGTAGAATTTGAAGCTTTCCTTCTGAAGGTTTGCAGATCGACAAAAAAGGAAAGCACTCGTCATAAGATGACTAGACAATCTTGTTTCGTGATATTAAGTGTGGAGGGCTGAAAGGAAAATTTAATTATAAGGTTCCCTACGCAAGTAGGTACGACAGCTCCCAACATAATGAGATACCGTCTGGTGCGACCAGACAGAAGACTGGGGAGATAGTTAGTAGAGAAGAGGTCCGGCAAAGGTTTGCCTCTACTGACTCCTCAGCGGCTGATCAGGCGGTGGGTGTGGGAAGAGACCCGGTGCTTGTAAACCCCACACCACAGTCATCCTCGTGGGAGACGCCACCTGTTCAGTGACAGCACCGAGGGCCTGATGGCCATGCAGCGACCAGCCTCGGTTGAACTTTTTGGCGCTGCGCATCAGGATATGGAGTCGTCAGGAGACGCGGCTCCCCCAGGAGGGGCTCCCAACCCCACCGGGCCAACGGTTGATCTCCCAGCCCAACCCCCTGTTACTGCTGACCCTGTTTCACCCCTCCACATGAGAAGCAGGTCAGCCGTCCAAGGTAGCAGGTCTATTGCCGGACACCTGTCAATTCCACAATCGCGAAGTTCCTCTCGCTGTCGTGGTAGTTCCAGAGAGAGAGGAACTTCCCGCCGCACCAATCCGGCGCCAACACTCGCAGGACCCCTGCACTCTGCTACCCCCTCGTCATCAGATATCGAGGGCGTTAAGGCAATAAAGAATCGACCACTGTCACGCCCCTCACGCAGTCTCGAAGGAACTGTGGTTGGCAATGTAGCAGCATCTACCATAATAGGGGGCCTCGACACAATCATGGGCGAAGCCTTGCCTCCTATTGCCCCGGAATTAGAGATAGCTCTAGCTAGGGGTATAAATCACGTCCATGACGCCCGCACGCTAGGTGAGGTTCATGATGAGTATACTGGCTCCATTAGAGGGAGAGGCCTTGCAATAGGGGACACTATCCCTTACGGTTCAACTCCACACTCTGCGCATGCCCTACCTCCCGACCATGGCACTCTCCACACTGACACGGGTGGTGACACGGACCCCGAGGCCCACCCCGTTGAGGGTGACAGTCCTAGTAGACGTAGGAGATGGAGGTGCCAAAGTATTGCCGACGTAGAAGCATCCGCCCAGGTCGATGATGCCCAGAGGCAATCGGCAGCTGCCATGGCCCAACTCCAGCATCAACAACAACTAGTTCAGCAGGCCCCCCAACCCCCGCCTCTCGTCCCGCCTGCTGGGGGCCCTGGCGATGACCCACCCCCACCACCACAGGCCCCTCCCCCTCTTGGAGGTGCACCTGACGTAGCCGCAACATTGAATGCGGCGGTTGCAGCCCCTACGTGGGTTGAGCCGGAAGGTATGCCCCGTAGTTCGCTAGTGGCACAGTCACATTTGGGTGATCATTCTATAACAACATCGGATGTCGCCGCCACCCCATTAGCCCACCTATCTGCCACTAGTGCCTCGCCCAACTATCTCCTATCCGCTCTCCGATTGGTCGAGGCTAACCCAGGCAACTTCTCGGTCAATGCCAATAACGAGTTGC